ACCGTTGGGGAAAAAAAAGTCTGTCTCCTCTTTTTTTGTCATTGAAAACAGTATTTTTAGTTACGTTTTTTTTTTTTTCTTTTTTACTAGATTTTGTTTACGTTTTTCATCAACAATATTAGATGTTGATATAGTCACAGCTAGTTTTCAGTGACGTTGGTGTCGTGTCCTCGTCATCTAATCTTAGTCAGGGAATAAAAAGGTCGTTGACAAACATAGTTGGTTCAACTTTTTGTTAACGAAATTAAAATTGCGCGTCTATTATTGCTGTCTGCCGTTAATAAGAAGATGGCGTTAATGCACACAGTCTCTTGTTGAAACGGAAACGTGTTTTAGCCATGATAAAGGATCAATTATATAGTTTTTAAATGTCAGCAGACCACATGATGTGATATGAGAATCTTATTTTCAATTCACCTTGCCTTATTACACAAAAAGAATGAACAGTACAGTTCACAAAAGTCCTATTTTATATCACATTTTGTTAAACAAACTGTAATATTGTCCTAATAGATGATTAAATGTTACTAACACTATGTTGTGATTTATTATTATACTTTGTTTTTCAGGAGTCAAATGTACTGATTGCTGCGAACAGTCAAGGAACAATCAAGGTTTGTGTTTTGAAAGTTATACACAGAACATACTAATAACTACAGTCCTACTGCGCCAGGTTTCAGACTGATGCCAGGGTGTCATACCGAGTTAGAGCTCAATCAGTCGGTCAGTTGACAAGAAACTAATCTAAACTAATCAGCCAATCTTTTCAGATCTAATACAAAAGGAACCTTCTTTTTTGCACGTTTGTCACTGTGTTTTAAAAGGCACATCCGAAATCCAAATGTAATGCCTCTGACATTTGTCAGAGGTCAAAATGCGCAGACAATACTCTGTATGTGAAGTGTAGTTTCTGGATGCTTTGAGCACACAAAAAGCCATTCACCTTTGTTGTACAGGGTGGCAGCAGAAAATCCACTAACAGATATTTTAAACCCCACTACATCAAATTAAAATGATCTGCATGATGAGGTGTCACAAGGGATGAGTGGAAAAGAATGTATTTTTAGGAATGTAATGTGTTTTAGTTTGTTGAATCAGTGGTTTTGGGGGTTACAGGTCCAGTCTACTGTTGAGGCCACCTATTTAAAAACAGGAGAGATGCTTCACTCAGTCTGTAGTATTCGACTTAGAATTTCCCGCTGTGCTGCACTTTTGTTAACAGCAACAACTAAACTCACTGTTTCAACACCTTGATTCTAGTGACAGTAAGCTACAGATAACATTACAGCTCTATCCTCTCTCTCTCTACACAGGTACTTGAGCTTGTCTGAAGGCGCACCATATCATCAGTGTGTGATCGAATCAGCCTCTGTTTGTTTGGTAGAGGATCAGTCTGATGCAGGAGGAGCCCAGGCTGCCTGCTGAACAAGGATATCCGACAACAGCAGGAGAGCTGATATAAACTGAATCTGTCTTATTTTAATGAGCTCCAGCAGGAAGACTGTGGACCAGTACATCAGTATAGCAGGAGAAGATGTGCTGTCTTTTTACAGCAAAGAAACAAAGACCTTGCTTGGGCACAAATGGAACAAGAGACTTTAGAAAACATTTTAGTTTCTTTTCAGTAAAGTTATATCGGCTACTATAGAACGCCTCTTTATGGTTTTAGGTCAAATCAAAACTTGTACCTTTTTTTTTAATTGAGCTGCTCCTCTTGAGGGTACAGCCAGCCAAACGCTACTAGTGTGATGCATTTTTCCTTTTAAAGGCCAAAGCACAAACAAAATGACATGCAAAAATGATGTCTTCACATGAAGCTTTTAACCCCCCCTCATTGTTTGTCAACCACCTGTTTTTCCCCCTTTACATGTAGTTTTTGTGTTTTTCAGATTGGGAGAAACCAGTTTTAATAAATATGACTTGAATTTCATTCTGTCAAGCCTATCGTCAGTTTCTTTTCCGGCTTACAAGTGTAGAATGTGAGTAATTGTACAGAGGTCAAGGATCATGGAAATGTTGAGAGACTGATGTTTCTGTATCTGTCGGAACAAAATGAGATTTGACGTGTTTTCCTGTGATCACAGCAATTCTCATGTAACTTAAGGCATTGTTCTGCAGTGCTACATCGAACTGGATTATTTTTCCACGTGTATGTGAGCTGTTTGTTGCTTGTTGAAAAATGAGAACCTCAGAATCAGATTCAGTTCTTTTAAAGTAGCAATGGAATTACTCTTCGCATACTGTACATCTACGTTTTTAACTCCACACAGACTGCTGTCGGTTTCTGTGGAGGGGTGATCCGTGTTGACAACATTGACATTGAGAGGATTTGGTAAAACACCGCCAAGACCTACCTATTTTATGATAACTGAGTGAGAGAGGTGTTTTGTATTTGTATAACTGAATAAATTATTTCAAAACAACCTTGTCCCATTTGTTTTTATTAGATATTTTTGGCATTTGAAGCATTCTCTTAACAGAGTTTTGTTTACTGATGGGTCTCATATGGGGTGGTGAACCTTGTGTGAAAAGGTGATCCATTAATTCTACCAGAGCGCCACTAAGTGTCGTGTTTACTTTTTTATTTTATACTAAATGTGTGACACCTATCACTGCAAGAGCCTTTTGCTGTAGCTCTCTTACTCTGGAAATTTCACCCCGTCTACTGTAATTTCGTAATGAGCAATGAAAACAAAAGATTGGTGGTCTCAATAGCATGACAGGGAGACTAAAAATTATTTTTTAAATTTAAATTACATGAACAAAGTCTCAGAGAAACGTCAAACAGAAAATAAAAAAATAAATGAGATACTATCACAATTGATTAAATTAATTCCACAGCAAATATTTTGTTCTTTAATGGCTAATCAATTATATCATTAACACAGGCCTCAAGATTGTGAAGCAGCAGTAATTGTATATTTTTCTTTTTCTTTATGTATCTTTTTATCACGTAGCGTACCTTTTCAACTCATTTCTAATTAAGGTGGTTATGATGATGTGTTAATCATTTATAACGACTGTCTATGAGTGAGTCTTGTCCAGTTGTGGCTAATGTAATGTTTGTGAGCGTGTGTGTGACTGGATTCAGGAGGCGTTAAACAGTCTTATTGCTGTGGGGACGAAATATCTCCTGAAACGCTGTGTTCTGCAACGCAGTGAGATGAGCCAACTGCTGCAGCTGCTCCTTTGTCACTCCAGGAGGCTGTGGAGAGGGTGTCTGCTATTGTCCATGAAATTTTCAGGTTGTTGAATGTGCCCCTCTCCACCACAGTTCTTAGTGGGTCCAGTCTCCTGCCGAGCACTGAGCCAGCTTTTTTAACCAGTCTGTCCAAATGCTTGATGTTTTGTCTGTCAAGCTGCTTCCCCAGCACACTGCAGCGTAGAAGAGTGCACTTGGCACCACAGTGTGATAGAACATGGTCAACATCTCCACACACACATCAAAGGACCTCAGTGTCTGTAGGAAGAACAGAAGGCTCTGCCCCCTCCAGTAGAGGGCATCAGTCAGGCTTCTTGGTTTTGGCTGTGTTCAGGTGGAGACAGCACTTAATGCACCAGTCCCTGAAGGCATCCACAAGGTCCCTGTACTCCCACTTCTGATTGCTCCTGATACAAACCACAATAGCTTTATCATCAGAGTATTTTTGTATGAGGCAGGACTCTGAGTTGTGCTTAAAGTCTGCTGTGTAGACTGTGAACAGGAACGGTGCTAAAACAGTTCCCTGTGGAGCACCAGTACTGCTCCTGACCATCCTGGAGACACAGCTTCCAAGCCTGACATGCTGAGGCCTCTCTGTCAGGTAGTCTGTTATCCAGGAGGTGATCTACTCCCATCCCCTCCAACCGGTCTCTCAGTATGGGGGGCTGGATGGTATTAAACGCACTTGAAAATTCAAGGAAAAGGATCCTAACACACCCCGGCTCTTCCAAGTAGGTGTAGGCCCGATGCAGCACGTAAAAAACCGCATCTTCCCATGTGCTCCTGATAGGCAAACTGGAGGGGTTCTACTGCATCAGTGATCTCTGACCTCAGGAAACGGAGGACCATGTGCTCCAGGGTCTTCATAATGTATCATGTTAAGGCCACCAATTGATAATTATTTAACTTGACCGGGCGCCCGATTTTGGGCACCGGTACGAGACAAGATGTTTTCCACTGCACCGGGACTTTGCCTGTTCGAAGCCTCCTGTTAGAGCCACTGAAGGGGCTCTGCTTGCTGGGCTGCACAGTCTTTCAGGAGCCTTGGACTCACCTGCTGTAAAGGACAGTGGTAGTTGGCCATGGGTGGTAGCTGTATCTGTAGCCTAGTAGTGGGGGAGGGGCTACTTCCAGGTGACAGTGGAGCAGGAGCAGCAGCAGCAACAGGTGACACTGTGGAAGGGGAGATGGATGCAGTGGTTGGGTGAACACTGCCTCCTCCATCAAACCTGTTATAGAACAGGTTGAAGTTGTTGGCTTTGTCCACATCACCATCCATAACCTGGCTGTTCTTCTTTGAATAGCCCTTTATGTTCCTTATTCCCTTCCACACCTCTCTGATGTTATTCCACTGCAGCTTACTGTCTGCCTTTCTTTTGTAGTCCACCTTTGCCTGTCTCAGTTTCCCCTTCAGCTCATGCTGAACCCCCTGAGCCTCTCTGTCCCCCTTCTTGAATGCCAGCTGAGACCAAGACTGCATCTCATAATTTAATTGTAATTTTGAATTTATCAGGTTAAAATTGTGATATTAAAAAGTTTATTCAAGAAAATGTGTTAAGTAAAAAAAAAGGACTTTTAAATATTTTTTTGGCTAAGTAGCCCATTGTTTGGTTTTCTGTAAAAAGTTTTTTTATTGACTTGTTTTTCTCATATTTCATTATTTGTTTATTTATTTATTTGGCGGGATATGCTTTCTTTAGGGACGAGGAAGATGAAGAGGCCAGCAATAGGAAACAAAAAAAAGGAACTACTGTTTTCAGAATAGTGGCGGAAGGTTTTGGCAGACGGACCACGGACAACTAGCTAGTTAGCGGCCGCTGGAAACAAAACCGGATTCTACTGAAGTTCTGATGTTACCCAGTTAAACCTTGGCCGTATTTAGTTACTTGGCTGTTTACTGATTTCATCTAGAGGTAGAAACTTTCGTGGTGAAGATGGGAGTACCGAAGTTTTACCGATGGATTTCAGAGCGCTATCCTTGTCTCAGTGAAGTTGTCAAGGAACATCAGGTAGGAAACCATTGATGAATATCGTTAGCTTCTCAAGCCACTGTTACTGATAGCCGCTGCGTTAGCTTAGCTATCTGTTGGCTATCAGCGAGCTAAGTATAGCGGGCCTGGAACTTTTATCCCCCGTAGCTTCACAATGTTTCACCCGGTAACAGGACATATCTCTTGTCAGTCCCTTTTGACTCCATCGTTTAATTAAAGTCAACATAGACGCAACGTTATTTATAAAATTCCAACACAAACTCGCTTGCTATTTTGCTACCTTCTACGTGTGCACATTAAATGTAAACGTGAATATAACTTAGTAAATGCGTTACCATCGGATAGTTTAGGTTTTTGTTGGGCAAGAACATTCCTCACAACAGTCAGCTAGCATTCCCTCACAGTCAGCTGGCTGTTCAACTTCACACTAAGAAGAAGCTGCCGCTAGTTACTGTTGCCATCTAGTTTACAGTCTCCCTGCTTTGCAATGTTTGTGAAGTTGTTGAAAATGCATTCATTATGTGGTCAGCCTGTAGTTGATACAACAGGGGACAATGTGAGTTAACCCTACATGACTTAGTTATTTAAGCTCAGTTATTTGGGCTGCCTGAATTGACTTTAGTGACCTAGTTCCCTGTGTAGTAAGACGGATAGTGTTTCACTGCTTGAGCAGCAGTTTCATCAGCTGGACGTTGCTCGGTGTCACACTCATTGCGTAAGCCAGCTTTGATAAGTTTGATAAGACAATAATAAGGACATTTTATATCGGAGGACAGGGGATATGCAAAGTAAGCTGTATACCCTGTTCTTATAGTATAGGTCAGCCCAGTTTTAAAAACATAAAGGACATTTTGCCCCTGTGTTATTAAACCTACATGTCACCTTGATGTGTCACCGGAGAGAGTATTTTGGTGTCTGTGTCAGGCTGAAGGAGCTCATTAAAATGCTTCTGGTGACTGCCAAAGATGAGTTGGCCCTTTCACTTTTGGCTTACAAAATGTGTCATGTGAAGGATACCCCCTTGCGGACACACCAGCATATGTTAAGACAAAACAAAACAAGGAGAGATGTATTCCACGCAGTCAAGGAATATCAATAGATTTTACAAATTTGTCACTTTACAGGAATCCACTTTAACAATTTTATTTTTTTTTATGTTTCTTTCTCTTTTCAGATTCCAGAATTTGACAATCTCTACCTGGACATGAATGGGATTATCCACCAGTGTTCCCACCCGAACGACGAGGATGTCCACTTTCGCATTTCCGAGGAAAAGATTTTTGCTGACATCTTCCATTACCTGGAGGTGCTCTTCAGGATCATCAAGCCACGCAAGGTCTTCTTCATGGCGGTGGATGGCGTGGCACCGAGGGCAAAGATGAACCAGCAGAGAGGACGGAGATTCAGGTAGAGATGGATACAGCATTAAAGAAACACAAAGCAATTCTTTCTGACTGTTTGTGTACAGGGTGACACCCAGAATGGATCAACTGGGGTCATCTGACCTTGCTCCATGACCTTGTTACAGACCTGAATTTAATGTTGGTATGTCTGTCTGGCTTTGTTATGAAAGGGTGAACACAAGTTCCTGTTATAACCATAGGGTTACCAAAATGTTATTGTTATTATTAAATGATTATGGAATGATTTTTACCCAATAGTAAAATATATAAACTTGTCGCCCTGTCACCACTTAACACTTCTCTATTTCAATGTCAAAGACAATTGAACATGATTGTTAAATTTAGGTTGTTGCAGGAGCTTTTCTTGAGGTAACCAAATAAAGAGATGGAATTTTATAAAGATTTCTGCACCATGACCTTAAATCACAAGTGTAAATAATGGCACATTCTCTTTTGGTAATCTGATCAAGATGACAACTCTGTTTGCAAATGTATTTATACAATGTCTGGTATAATTCTGTGGTTGAGCAGTGATGGTGGTGGTGCTGCCTTATAAGGCAGAATGAGCCTCAGACTAGAACTAAAACGCAACATTTGCTTTGGTAAAAACTGAAACCAGACAACAGGCAAGATAACAGCCTGAGGCTGTGAGTCTGACCTGCTCTCTTTTATATATGCGCGTCTGTGTGTGTATGTGCGTCTGTGTGTGTGGGTGGCTATGTGTCTAGGTCCGCCAAAGAAGCAGAGGAAAAGATAAAAAAAGCTCTGGATAAAGGAGAGGTGCTTCCCACAGAGGCTCGTTTCGACTCCAACTGTATCACTCCTGGTAGGAATGCTCGTGAGCTCTAAACAAAATGAACAGCACTCATTAGGATTTAGAGAAGCAGCTATAGCATGACAGGTATAAAGGTACCTGTTCATGTCGGGGTAGGGAAATCATTTCTTTCTAACTTTCTTCTTTTTTCTTATATGGTTTTTAGCAAAAATGTGTTTGGGAAGTGGAATTCAGGCATTGTGGGTTTAGTTTATTCTGTTGAACTATGGGGCAACTGCATTTTTCTCCTGTATTGCAATGTATTATTGTCAGTAAAATTATGTTGTTTTTAGCATGGACATATTTTATACAATACTAACATATTAGATGTAAGTGTGCCTGTTCTCAGAAAGTTGGTAGCAACTCCTTTAATCACACATCCTTCTTCCAGGCACTGACTTCATGGCAAGACTCCAGGAGCAGCTCAAGTATTTTGTCCACAACAAGCTCTCCACTGACAAGCTATGGCAGAATGTCAACGTCTACCTGTCTGGTCATGAGGTGTGTTAACAGAATGGCCACTGCAGTTTCAATAGCAGCATTTTGCCACCAGTGTTTGTGCTACTGTTTAGTCACTGTGATTCTGTTACAGCTTCAGTATCACCTGTACCAAGTCTGTGTTTCTCTTCTTTACAGACCCCAGGAGAGGGAGAACATAAGATCATGGAGTTCATTCGCTCTGAGAACGCCAAGCCCGGTCACAACCCCAACACTCGACACTGCCTATATGGCCTGGATGCTGACTTGGTAGGGTTTGTGTGGACTTAGATGAGGGTGTTCATTATTGATTAAACCCTCTGTGGATGCTCACACATGTCTTGCTCTCTGTGTTGTAGATCATGTTGGGTTTGACCAGCCATGAGCCAAATTTCTCCCTGCTCAGAGAAGAGGTCCGCTTTGGAGGAAAGAAAAACCAGAAAAGGTTCTTTTCCTTGTCATTTTTTTGTATAGTTTTATTTCATATCTTTTCTGTCATTTTTTGTTCTACCAGTTTGATTTCTTTCTCTGAAACCTAGTGTGATCTTATCTTCTAGGATAACGGCTCCAGAGGAGACAACTTTTCACTTGCTTCACTTATCTCTGATGAGGGAGTACATAGACTATGAGTTCTCAGCGCTCAGGGTGAGAGAGAGTCTCACACACACACACACACACACACACACTTACACTATTAGTATAATTATAAAACTATACATGATTTTCATGTCACGGAAGGTTTTACTTGAAGATTTTTTGTCTTTAAAGGGACGGTTCACCCAAAGTGAACAAAGAGGCGTCTGCCCTCTCTTCAGTATTATAGAACTAGATGGCACTCAGCTTATGGTGCTCGAAGCACTAAAAAAATACATTCGAAAAACTCAACAGCAATATCTCTTTCCAGACATCATGACCCAGTTACTCAAGATAATCCACAGACCTTGTTATAAGCAGTGTCGTGTAGGAAATGTTTTCTTTCTAATGAACTACACCCACCAGCTGAATGACTGTGCAGAAGGATTAGTGCATCTATTCACGGATAAGAGGCTCCTGCTCGTGACTGCTCATAAACACTAATTGCAGCTGAGCTGTAACGTTAGCCAGCTCAGTGGTGCTAGGTGAGCTAGCAGTGGATGCACGCATTCTTCTGCGCATTCTTGATCCAGTTGGAGGGTGTAGTTCGGTAGAAAGAAAGTCGTTTCTGACATGATTTCTAGAAAGAGACATTGCTGTATTTTTTTGACTTTTTGAGCACCACGAGCTGAGTGCCATCTAGTTCCATTATATAGTAGAGAAGGCAGACATCTCTACAGACAGTAGCCCCAACACTCGGCAACTCACCAAAACAATCTAGATTCATAAATAGCACTGCAGGTTAGAGGAAAAATATCTATTTTTGATTTTGGGGTTAAGGGTCCCCTTAATATATGCCACTTTGCCGTATGGCATTTGCTCTGTATTCTGAATATGTCTGTGGGTTTTTTTACAGAGTCATCTCGGTTCTGCTTATGACTTGGAGCGAATAATAGACGACTGGATTCTAATGGGGTTTCTAGTGGGAAACGATTTCATCCCTCACCTCCCTCATCTTCACATCAGTCATGATGCTCTGCCGCTGCTGTACAAGACCTACATCAGTGCTCTGCCCAGCATGGGGGGTGAGAGACACACACGCACACATGCACAAATAAATATTGTACCATCACACTCACTTTAAATGAGATTTCAAATGTTGCGTGCAAATACCAAGCAAGAGTGATTAGTCTGTTTAAGGTATTGTTTGTGCCGGTCAGATAGTTTGTACATGTCAGCTGTGTGTCCTGCCTCTATGATGTACAGTACAGGCCAAAAGTTTGGACACACCTTCTCATTCAATGCGTTTTCTTTATTTTCATGACTATTTACATTGTAGATTCTCACTGAAGGCATCAAAACTATGAATGAACACATGTGGAGTTATGTACTTACAAAAAAAAGGTGAAATAACTGAAAACATGTTTTATATTCTAGTTTCTTCAAAATAGCCACCCTTTGCTCTGATTACTGCTTTGCACACTCTTGGCATTCTCTCCATGAGCTTCAAGAGGTAGTCACCTGAAATGGTTTTCCAACAGTCTTGAAGGAGTTCCCAGAGGTCTTTAGCACATGTTGGCCCCTTTGCCTTCACTCTGCGGTCCAGCTCACCCCAAACCATCTCGATTGGGTTCAGGTCCGGTGACTGTGAAGGCCAGGTCATCTGCCACAGCACTCCATCACTCTCCTTCTTGGTCAAATAGCCCTTACACAGCCTGGAGGTGTGTTTGGGGTCATTGTCCTGTTGAAAAATAAATGATAGTACAACTAAAAGCAAACCGGATGGGATGGCATGTCGCTGCAGGATGCTGTGGTAGCCATGCTGGTTCAGTGTGCCTTCAATTTTGAATAAATCCCCAACAGTGTCACCAGCAAAACACCCCCACACCATCACACCTCCTCCTCCATGCTTCACAGTGGGAACCAGGCATGTGGAATCCATCCGTTCACCTTTTCTGCATCTCACAAAGACACGGCGGTTGGAACCAAAGATCTCAAATTTGGACTCATCAGACCAAAGCACAGATTTCCACCGGTCTAATGTCCATTCCTTGTGTTTCTTGGCCCAAACAAATCTCTTCTGCTTGTTGCCTCTCCTTAGCAGTGGTTTCCTAGCAGCTATTTGACCATGAAGGCCTGATTCGCGCAGTCTCCTCTTAACAGTTGTTCTAGAGATGGGTCTGCTGCTAGAACTCTGTGTGGCATTCATCTGGTCTCTGATCTGAGCTGCTGTTAACTTGCCATTTCTGAGGCTGGTGACTCGGATGAACTTATCCTCAGAAGCAGAGGTGACTCTTGGTCTTCCTTTCCTGGGTCGGTCCTCATGTGTGCCAGTTTCGTTGTAGCGCTTGATGGTTTTTGCGACTCCACTTGGGGACACATTTAAAGTTTTTGCAATTTTCCGGACTGAATGACCTTCATTTCTTAAAGTAATGATGGCCACTCGTTTTCTTTAGTTAGCTGATTGGTTCTTGCCATAATATGAATTTTAACAGTTGTCCAATAGGGCTGTCGGCTGTGTATTAACCTGACTTCTGCACAACACAACTGATGGTCCCAACCCCAATGATAAAGCAAGAAATTCCACTAATTAACCCTGATAAGGCACACCTGTGAAGTGGAAACCATTTCAGGTGACTACCTCTTGAAGCTCATGGAGAGAATGCCAAGAGTGTGCAAAGCAGTAATCAGAGCAAAGGGTGGCTATTTTGAAGAAACTAGAATATAAAACATGTTTTCAGTTATTTCACCTTTTTTTGTTAAGTACATAACTCCACATGTGTTCATTCATAGTTTTGATGCCTTCAGTGAGAATCTACAATGTAAATAGTCATGAAAATAAAGAAAACGCATTGAATGAGAAGGTGTGTCCAAACTTTTGGCCTGTACTGTATATCACACACATAAAAACAACAAACTGAATCCTGTTTCCTGACTCAGGTTATCTGAATGAGAACGGCCATCTAAACCTCAGAAACTTTGAGAAATACTTGGAGAAGCTTGCTGAGGTGAGACAATATCACACCACTGTCTATATGATACATACAAGATCAATACAGTTTACACTTATTCATATCATACACCTATTCTGTATATAATGTGTACTATTAGCACAGCTTGTATTCAGACTTTCTGCACTACTTTTTATTCTTACCTGCACTGCTTACTGTGTTCTACTCATTGGAATAGAATCTCATTCTATTTCTATGATTCTGCTGTATATATCTGAGAGCAGTGGTTCCCAACAGGTCCATCCACATGGCCCACATCTCTCCTTAGTTATTAGTTCAAGGTCCACACAATTTAATATACTCAGTGTCATGCTTATTTATGTCATGCGCCATAAATAATGGTTAAAATATGTGACACTGTTCCTTCCTTTCCGACATTCCTCCAGTTTGACCGGGAACATTTCAGCGAGGTGTTTGTGGACTTGAAGTGGTTTGAGAGTAAAGTTGGTAACAAGTATCTGAACGAGGCGGCGGGATTGGCAGCAGAAAAGGAAGCCGCCAGCAAAGACACCAACGAGAATGAGGTCTGTTCTTCTGTCAGAATATTTATACACACCCAGGGATGCAGTGACAGAAATTAAGCCCAATATTCATTCAATTTTATTTACAGTTTCAGTCATGTATCCCTGTAAATAATAACTTCTGTAATTTTGTTATATGGGTGTGTGTGTAGGATTCTACCCTCTCAGAAAGAGTGATTGGAGAAGGAAAAGGAGCAGTAGGAGACGATGAGGAAGAGGACGACGATATGTTTGAAACTGAGTTCAGACAGTACAAGCGCACCTACTATATGACCAAGATGGGCGTGGATGTGGTGTCTGAGTGAGTGTACACACACACACACACACATACATTGCGAAGAAATAAAAACACTTACAACAGGAGGCAAAGCTCCCCCATATGAAAACATTCTATTTAGGGCTCACAGATTATGGAAATGTGTCTGTAAGCATTATGTACCACTTTAAAGTCAGATGACCCTAAAATATGTTTTTATTCTCATTTGCAGTGACTTTCTAGCCAAGCAGGCCAAGTGTTACGTGGAAGGTATCCAGTGGATTCTCCACTACTATTACCACGGGGTTCAGTCCTGGAGCTGGTGAGAACAACTTCTTCATATGTCACTTATCCTCTGCTCTTCCTTTCCTCTCGTTCCAGCAGTCTCAGGCAGTCAGATGATTTATTAAATCCTCTTGTAAAGTGAGGGAGTATCAGATAATAGTTATACTTTCATATATTTCTGCACAGCAAGCCCAGCTTTAGTGAAAGTTACAGTCTTTCAGAACAACCATGTAAGGCTGCAGCAATTTATCGGCCAGACAGTGGTATTGGTCATTATTCGGCGTGTTGTCTGACATCAGCCATAGAGTGGCCCAGGGATGATGTTTTCCTGCAGGCTGAAGCAGAAGTTAGCATTGCACTGGCTCCCTCCTCAGCGTATGGGATTTTTCTATTAGATTTTGGATTACTGCACAAAATAAGCTCAAAATCTGCTCATGTTTTGTTTAGTAACATAATCTTCATAAATGAACACACACCACTGATTATGGAAGCCCGGAGAGTAGAACCACCGTAGACCATCCCTAGAACTGTGCCTTTGAGCCCGAAACAGTCATTGAAGCATATAGTGAAATAATTAAAAAAACATTCATTTTAAGTTGAGGACATTAATATGAGCATTTTCCCCCTTTATTGCCTTCCCAGTATCTGCTATCTTGAGTTTGTTCTTTTCTTAGATCAGCCTTTAAATAATGTGTGTATGTCACTCTAGGTACTACCCCTACCACTACGCCCCCTTCCTGTCTGACATCAAGAACATAGCAGGGTTAAAGTTGACCTTTGACCTTGGGAAACCCTTCATGCCCTTCCAGCAGCTGTTGGCAGTCCTGCCTGCTGCCAGCATGGAGCTGCTGCCTCAGAGTTACAGGGTAACGCACTCCCACACACACACATATGTACAGTATATGCACTTACTAGGTCCAGTTATCACAGATAAGTCTTCATGTGGAACATATTTATTTTAAAAGCAGCAAATTTTAGGGGGTATGCAAGATCCAAACATGAAAATGATAATATATATTTTTTGACATTTCAGCACCTGATGACCAGTGAAAGCTCGCCCATCATCACATACTACCCTGTCGACTTTAAAACAGACCTCAATGGCAAGCAGCAGGAATGGGAGGCTGTGGTTCTCATTCCCTTCATAGATGAGGTATATACACGCACACAAGAAAAATCATGCCACAGTTAGGTTAAAAAAGGCAGTCTCATTGACAGTTTAACTATATGTGTGTGTGTGTGTGTTGTGTGTTTATGCAACAGAGGTGCTTACTAGCAGCTATGGAGCCCTGCAATCAGAAGCTGACTAAAGAAGAGAAGGCCAGGAATCGTCACACAGAGTGTGCAGTCTATGCATATGACCCTGAAGCAGACTTTACATACAGCTCCACCCTGCCTCAGCTGTTCCCCGACATCATCCACTGCCATGTCAGGTAGGTACACACACATCCCCACCAGCCCTGACACTGATTTAACATGAACTTAAATAGTCTTTGTCAAATGATCTTTAATATACCCACCCAGTAGGATACACAAGATCACGAGGAGAAAGTAATATTTTATATATTGACCATCCATTTTTGCTTGTGAGGTCCGCTGCTTCTTGGCATTGTAAACAATAAATAAAATTCGGTACAAACATTCGAGGTTATACTGCTGTGATCGGACGGTTTCACAGTACCACATCCATGAGTGACCGGGAGGACAACAAAAGAAAATGGCCTAAAATCATATGAGGCCATTTTTAATGACTTTATAGCGTCTCTTGCTTCAGCTGAGAAATGTGCTCGAGCAGCAAGTTCACTACATTCTGCAAGCTCTCCTAGCTTTTAGTCTAATAGATACACAAAATAAACTCACAAAATGTCAAGAAAGGAAATACTGTACACCTGTTTTCCTCACTGAACACCAAATAAACAACTGTACACCTTCTGAATTCAAGTCTCTCTTTGAACAAAGTAAGACTAGCTTAATTGCTTTAATTCATAGTAAAAACATTCAAACTCAACAGAAACAAGCTCACCATAATGGTCTCAGTCTTTCTACTGTTCCAACAGTCACCAACTCTAGTTTTGGAAATAAATCCTGAATCTAACAAGTTAGACGTGAAAATATGCTAACTGTACAAGACGTTTTCCCCTGCTCTCTCCCTGTGCCTCTCAGCTGCTCACTGAGCAGTGGCTCTCACTAATTCTTTGGTGGCAGCTTATTAAAGGTCCAGTGTATAAGATTTAGGTGCATCTATTTGCAGAAATGGTATATAATCTTATGTTTTTATTATTGTATAATTACTTGCCTTGTTGTTTCTACAGTAGCCTTGAATGGACAAATCAAACACTGGCTCTAGATAAGGCCATTTGTGCCATTCATGCATGCAATCTGCAACCTCACTGCTAGATGCCACTAAATCCTACACACTGGACCTTTCAGTTCAGTCAAAAATAAGATGGCAAACATTCCCCCCAAAAAGGAACCAACAACAGCAAAACAGAGATGTACTTAGCCAGTCGCCAATATGTTGGTCCAAATGTCTAGTCCTGAGGGTTTGTAAACTATTTTAATTGTCCCCCACTTTTGTTTTAAACCATGATTTTGCACCTTCTTGTTGTACTGCACTGTTACATGCACAGTCCTGCTGTGAGGAGCTGCTGGCTGTGTGCCAGCGAGTTGACATACAAAAGCACGTGTCGACAGTATTTTCATACTGCACTCTCACAGCCAGAGAGGGTAGACAAAGGTCAGCACCACAGAGATGCAATTTCTTAATAGTTGTCACTGCAGGCCACAGTGCTTACAGAGCAGCTCCTCACAGCACCAAAAACATCAACCCAAATTTTCAAATAGGTGTTTTTTGGATAAACTATTCACATATTGGGAAAGTAGATGCTTACTTCCTTGCATGAAAAAAAATAAACTCAATAACATTTGTTTAAGCCTAATATTTGGCAAGTAGAGGATTACAAAGCAGAGTTTCTTCTGCTCTAAAGCCAAAGTAAAATTGCAGATGTTGGCTGTTGTCATGTTGATTTCACTGCACATGTTCGCTATAAGTTTGCTGTATTGTGTTTGTTTGTTTGTTTGTTTGTTTCAGGAAAGCAGACATCCCTATGGATGCCTGGCATGTACCACTGGACCACGTCAGCAGGCGCGTCGACCGCTCAGCTCTGTACTTCTGTGGCTTTCCCACACTGCAACACATCAAACACAAGGTTTGTGCTTTCACATACAGACATGATGTTGATGTTAAAAACTCTAAACCACAGCACAGGGTCTGATGAAGTTCATTAGTAATAGCTCATGTTTATTTATCATGTGGACTTCTTGCTGGTAGAATACTTAAAAACTTTTTCTTTGTCTCTTTCACCCCTCTGTCTTTTCTGCTTCTCTCTCCTGTTTATGGGCTCACTCATTTTTTAGTTCTTCAAGAAGAAGAGTGGGGTGGTCGTGTTCCAGCAGAGCAGCAGAGGGGAGAACATGATGCTGGAGATCCTCCCCAGCCCAGACGGAGAAGCGGTGAGCTTTCGTGTGATTTTCACTGATCTTACTTTAAAAGAAAAAAATGCCAAAAAGCAGACTTGATGAAAGAGTTTCTACTTTTTCTAAATGAGATGTCTAAAAATGTCAAATTAACAGAATAAAAGGCTTTTTGTTTAGTGATTAATAATGGCATGAAGTTGTTACATCATTATTGCTGCAGTGCTAATTCTTACTCAGCGTCTCCATCTGACACTGCAGTAATGCAAGGCTAGATGGGGCTCTTGAAAAGTCACAGGATCCCTATAAAAGATTACTTTTACTAGTTCTTATGTCGACCTACTCACATTTAGGTTATTGTGTATTGTCTTGGTCATAAGCAACATCTACAAAAACCAAGCCTCTTATTATGATATACAATCGACAAATTAAAGTTTTAGCCTTTATTTTAAGGGAAAATTTTGTGTTTTTCAACCTGTTGCCCTTTTTCCATGTTTCAAGTGACTAATTGGAACAACTATTTTTGAAATTGGTCCAGTATTGAGCAAGACAAAATAGGCTGCAATGTAATCCCTGCAGACAATTGAGCACTGTCAATGTAAATCCACAAAAGCGCTTATTTTTGCCACTGACAGGCTCCACCAGCATTATCCTATCCCGACAGAGATAAGTCTGTCTGTTTAAGAGTAAAATCCTTTTTATTCATCCAGAAACCACCGCGAAATTGCTATCGCCAAACCAACCAGACTCCATTTAAATAAACAGTAATTTTAGTGTGCATAGAGCCAGCATATTTTCACATCCAACTCGGTGAGTTAAGGGTTTATTTCAACCAATACAGAGATGGCGATTGTTGGAACAGTGGAGACACAAGTCGAATTTGATTGAAGTGTGTTTTAAGGTGATAAAATGTTTATTTAAATTGAGTCTGGTGGGTTTGGCGATAAGCAACTTCCAGACTGTTTCTGGTTAAACAAAAAGGATCTTGCTCTTTAATAAAAAGGTCTATCTCTGTAGGAATCATTTCATTAATGTTGTCAGACACCTATAATAAAAATAATGTGAGCTTGTCGTTGGCAAAACAAGCACTTTAAGTGGACAAAAGATTACAGTGTTACATTGCAAACTGTTTAGCCACTGTGAGCTGCAGCACTCACACTAAATACTGGACCAGTTTCTAAAATTGTTGTATCTGTTCATAAAAGACACAAAACACTGGAAAATTGGTCCAGGTTCAAAAATACTAAAGTTACCCTTTAAGAAGATAAATATGATACATTTTGAGTATTTCATCAATTTATTAATCTCAAACTCATCTATAAATGCCTCTAATATAATCAAGCACACAGGGACCTTGTGGTTCCACTCAGAGTTGCAGGCTCAGGAACCGGATGGTGCCCTTACGTAAATCTTCATTTGGACAAACTGCTTTTTCTGTTGGGAGGAGGAACATGTGGAATTCTTTACCTGCAGAACTTAAACTGGATCCTGACTGATATTGTTTTAAACTCAAACAGGAACAGGGTTAGAAGAGAGATCAGTCATGTAGTCATGAATAATCTGGTGCTTCTCATTTCATGGTGCCTCAGTGTGTGTCTGTATTTTCTTGTTGAGTCATGAGGTTTTCTTCTTCATGTATGTATGTATTGTTCAGCTTGTGTTTTGTCTATTGTGTATTTGTTGTTGAGTTTTATGTATTTTAAAGGTCCATCTAGAGGCAGGCATTACAAAGTAGCTTAGGCTATAAATGCTGTGGTGTGTGGCACTGGTTTATGCTACGCACTTTCACCCTATACAGAAAAACATTGAAATTAAATAAAAGATAAACACATGGACAGGACTTGGGCTCCTCAGCAACACAATTTAGATTCTGAGAAGTTATTTAAACACCTGTAAATAATGTGAAGTACTTTTCACTAGTTGTTGAAATTTGAATCTGAGGAAACTTCTGCAGAATTTTACAACTGCTTTGAATTTTTCAATTTCTGTTCCACACCATGTATATCCAATTTATTGTCTCCCTCTCGTTTTTTTCCCTGTGCTTCTTAAGATATGTGATGATGCTGCTGCTAAAGTACTGGGGAAATCAGTGTTCGTCAACTGGCCACATCTAGAGGAAGCTCGCATCATCGCTGTGTCAGATGGAGACGTAAGGTAGGAATTCGTACCAGGCCAGTGTGCTGAACGTGTCTTGTTTTTGATTTTAACAATTTTCTCAATCTGGATCAGTTCTATCCATGTATTGTTTATCAGTGTACGAACTTATTGCCCCATCTTTCATAAGAATCTTGTTAATATTATAGAAAGCATTTCATCAGTCAATAACTTGCATGGAAGGATTAGATACACCCACATGATAACAGTGGATACTGAAATAGTGATCCTTTTCAACACCACCACTGGGGGGCGCCAAATTCTACACAAAGTGGCTTTAAAATATGAGCTGCTGAAACTTCGCCTGCAGTCACCAAATGTAGCATGCATGTCTTTTTGCCACAGAGTTTGTCTTTGTATCATTGAGTCAGCTATGACAAGAAAAATCTTTCCTGCTGTTTTTCAGGTTTTCTTTAGATGAACCACCCGGTGTCCAGAGAGTGTATGACCGGCCCTCCACTCCTCCTCCCACTAAAGTCACCTGCCTATCTGACAAGGAGCAGAAGGACTGGGTGAAGGATGTCCAAGGACTCACAGAACAGTATGGCACAGTTTGAAACATTTTCACAGCAATATTATTAAGAGACCCTTAATACAGCTGTGTTTCCATAAAGTATTTTTTATTGACATTTTAAAGTGTCACATTAGAAAAGCTGCGCCGAAAGTGCAAAATTTGATAAAACTACCTCAGTTGCACAAAAAAGTTTTAATGCTAGGTTGAGGTGGTTTTTGCCTGTGTCGAAAACTAGTTGATGTGCAAAATGGGATATGAAAACACCTTTGCCAAATAAGTTGTGCTGTAGCAAAGTTAGCTCTGGTGACTGAGCACTTGTTTCCACTGTCAGGGTCTTCCCACATATTCCTAATTTGCCTTAGTCTCCAGACAACGTGAAACATGGCCAATACTACCTAACATGAATGGTCGATGTAACCTCTTTATTTTGTGGCTTGCAGCCTCTAGTTCTTCTACTCTGAATACTGGCAGGTTACAGCCATGTGTAAAGTAGTCTGACAGAAATGCTTTGTTGAGCCTAGTTTATCTGCTCCAAGCCATTCAATTTAAATGCCTAATTACCTTTTCATTTTTGTGACATTTATAAAATTTGCTTAAAATTCGTTTTACAATTGAATGGAAACACAACTGTTGTAAAACTGCTCACTAGAAGGTTTTAAGTTCCTTGGCATTAAACCCAACAACAACATAATTGGTAGGTTGTGTTCAAAATTTTCCTGAGATTCTGATAAAGCGTGACCTCTCCTGTCGTTCTGCCTGTGTTTATGACTCCTTTTTTTAAAGTGATTTTTCTTTCTTGCAGTTTCTTGAAGAGGAAAGGCATCATGGTGAACGAGACATCAGTGGTTTTGTACGGCCAGCTGCTGACTGGAAGGAAATACGTTCCCAAAGCCAATGGAGTGGTGGAACTTGAGAAACAGTGGGCCAAGCAGGTCCTCCCTTTCGCCTACCAGACGGTGGTTAAGGTACATGCACACACATACAAGAAGGGAAGTACACAGATAAAAGTCATTGAAACAAAATTCACTTTTTTTCAACAAGGCTAGGCGGGGCTAACGCTGCAGCTACACCAATTGCCACCATCCATGTATTGTTGTTGTTGTTATTCCATGCAGTTCCTCTTCTTCCTTTCCTTAACAGCAGACTAGAGTGCTTGTAGGCGTATATAATTCACTAACATAAAGTTAACAAAAAACATTTTTTTTACTGAGTATTTAACGACCCAACTCATCTCCATTCAAAAAAACATACACACTCACAGTAACTCTCGAGCCTAGCCAGAAGACATCCAGCCAGCATGAGTATGTGTGAGGCTTGGACATATTTACTGCTTGAATGTCCGTGGACAGCTGCAGACTTGTACTGGTTGCATGAACACGGCTCCATGTAGTGAGAGTGCAGTGTGTTTGTGTGCTTTTGTGTGTGTAAAGAGAGGGAGAGCTGCTGGTTAGTGTCGCATGCTGATCCAAACTCCTTCCGTTTTCCTCTGGTTATCTTTATGATAAGTTTAAAATGACTGACTCGTAATTCTGGTACCAACTAGCGAGGGTAGCAACATTTAATCCTCTAGTTGACTTATCTGGCACAGCCCCAGCCCTCATAGGTGGTTACCACTGAAGTCGGGACAGGGTTGACCTTTGGAGTTCTGTCAACATGGTTAGCTTCTAGCCGCCAGCTCAGGCACCTCCATGTTGAGAGCCATGTACAGACGACCTGTGAATCATAGATATGCTCTAAATATTGTACAGACCTCCTTTAATATTGGTCAGAAAAAGAACTGTAACATCACTGATACAGATGCACATTCATAACATGAACATCTTGTTAAATGATGATTCTGAAGACTGTTATCCTTCATCCTCTCAGGACATCAAGGCCTTCTACTCGTCTCTGAACTGCTTCAAGAGCTTAGACGAGCTCTTTCCTCCAGCAACCACTGTCTTCATGGTGGGGAACCCTTACTATGGAGCCATGGGCGAGGTACGTTATCACTTTTCTGCTTCAGTCAGAAGAAGCATCACTGTAATAATGATAATAATAATGGACGTTCAAACACAGGAACCTTCAAGCTTTTTTTTTTAATAATTTTTTTAAACTTTCTAAAGGGCAAATAAAGCTGGATTTGAATATAAAATAATGATGTTGTATGCACAGTATTGGGCTGTAAACAGACATTTTGATGAAAATCAGTTGTTGGTTTGTCTTCTTGCTACTTAATAAATGAACCACTCTCCTCTTTCACAATTCTGGTTGGACATCAGGAGTGAGAGAAGTTTGGGTCCTTTTTCAAACTCATCCTGAAATAGAGTAATAGTAAAATGAACTTTAATTAATAGTACTGAATAATTACTAAAATATAAATATAAACAAACATGAATATAACCAAAATTCGAAATACAAACAAAAATCAAACAGAATTATCAACAAAATTCCCTGTTGTTTTACATCTGAAAGCTTAAGTAAGAAGCATCAATAAACAAGGAGCTTGGAGGTACTCTCTCCTGTAATGACATGATGGCAACATGATGTTTTTAAAGCTCCTCCAATAATAATGCTTTTAATCTACCAAGATTTCACAAGTGTTCTTTTGGTTATTGTGTATCATTTGTGAAGAGCAACACGCCGGCTTGTTGGCTCATTGAAATGTCTCCCAGTTAATCACCATCTATTTTATTACTTAATTAACAGGTGCAAGACTCCAGTGATGTCATTAAAGAAGGCCGGGTGCGAGTGGTCTTCAACGTACCGCACGAACCACAGCTGGAGCCCTTAATCCAGAATCAGCATGTAAGAAACACACACACACACACACTTGTTGTTTCTGGGAAAAAGTCCCATGCTCACCTGTTTGTGCCTGCCCTGTATGCCTGGATGTGTGTGTATTGTAGAAGTACTGCGTGAAGTACTGTCCTGGATACGTCCTGGCATCCCGTCTGGGCATCACCAGCTACCTCGTCTCCCGCTTCTCAGGAAGCATCTTCATTGGCAGAGGCTCTAAGAAGAAGTAAGTGTTCAGTCACCTTTCAGACACTGGTTAAAGCTAAGATGGACAGAGTTTATTCACTTACTATTCTGACATTTACAGCTTGTTTTTTAAACTATGTAAATTGTTAAGAATTTGCCTGTGTAAATCTGCTGTGAATTAAACCTGACACATTGAGATGGCTACCTTCACTCCCCCAGATAGAAACCTTGTATGTTTAAGAGCTGCATTTTTAAAAACCTATTAGTTAATCTGCCTATTTTTGTAATGACTATTCTGCATTTTGCAGTGTGTTAAGGTTTTGTTTGCTCCACCGGTCAGAACTCAGTTTTTCCAGCTGTCTCTTTCTCTGCACCAATATTTTCTTCTTCACTGTTCGCAGTCCCTGTGGGGAGCAAAAGGCTAACGTGGGCCTGAACTTGAAGTTCAACAAGAAAAATGAGGAGGTTCCTGGATACACCAAGAGAACTGAGAAGGAGTGGCTCTACTCTGCTGCTGTGGAGGAACTGCTGGCCGAATACCTGGACAGGTAAAAGAAAAAGAAAAGAAAACGAGTGTGAGATCACTTAATGCTGCCGTTAAGAAAGTTCATCATTCTTTAGTTGTTTTAGTTTAGTAGCAGCACTGATGCCACATTAACGCTGCATGCTGTATCATGGCTCTACTAAACCGGACTTTGTTGGTTTTCCATTAGAAAAGTACATGGTACTTTTTTTGGTACTATTTTGGTCGAGGTTCCAAGCAAGCTGATTTGATACTAGGAGGTGGAGTTAAAACACTGCAGACCACTGATAAGTCAGAGAGAATAGTCATTTGCGTGGGACATTTGGCACAAACCAGCCATTTTTAAATAACCAAGCTACCGTCAATAGTGTCCACAATTTTTTATTCACTTGACTCAATTTTTCAAAAAAATGGCAGCCTGCAGATCTACACTGTACAACTGACAAAGTGCAAATGTTCCTCTGGTTGCTGATAAAGGAATTCAGTGAGTGTCGCATTTAAGATGATGTCATGGCAGTTTCACGCAACGTCGCTATGGTGATCAGCTGAGAATCCTGCCTACGCTGAGGGTATACTATTTGCAGTGGATAATTAAACAGAGAAAGGGACCTTATACCAAAAGTGTTGACTCACGCAGTGGAAATAAGGCATGAAAGTCTGTTTGCACTGAAATCTGATGACTGATGATAACTTTGTACAGTCAAAAATAATGTGTGAAAAAGCTTAGTCACTTATACTGTGAAAAGAGGCACTAGTTCAACATTTTAATATGATGATTTTTTTTAATTTTTGTCTAGATTCTCTGAGGTATTCAACACAGTGTCCAGAAACAGTCACGATGATGTTTTCTATGAAGATGACATCTGGCCTGATGTGGACCAGAATGGGTAAACGCACACACACACACACACACACACACACACACACACACACACACACACACACATAGTATTTAATGTCTTGATTTTGGGCACATGATTCAGTCACAATATAGTTGATGAATATATGATAAAATCCTTAATATTTTCGGGGCGTCGGTAGCATAGTGGATAGTGCCGGTGCCCCATGTACAGAGGCGATGCCTCACTGCAGCGGCAGCAGGTTCGATTCCAGCTTGCAACCCTTTGCTGCATGTCATCTCCCCATTCTCCCTCTCTCCCCATTCCACACTGTCCTGTCGATTAAAGGCAGAAAGCCCAAAAAATAATTGAAAAAAAAAAAAAATCCTTAATATTTGCCAGCCATGTCAGATGAAAAATGAAGGAATCACAGCCTAAATAAGCTCAGGGGGATTTCCTCTTGCTCCAATATTATATTATTAAATATATTATAATATATTATATATTGTAAATATTATTTAATATTTTCAGCACACACAGTTTGAACAAATTCTAAGTTCTGAATGAACTGAAACAGTGTTGTATTTGCTGATGAGCCCTGATACTGATGGTCACCCCACAGGGCGGAGAAGGTTGCTGAAATCACTTCGTGGTTGAAAAGTCACCCAGTAAGCTCCATCGGCAGGACGTCATGTGACCTGCAGGTGCTGGACTCTGCTATTGTGGAGAGGATTGAGGACGCAGTGGAGAAAACCAAGGTGACTCCGACACACTTAATTCAGGCTCAAACTACAGCATACTTCTTCCAGTTACCACTATCAGTAGTTCCCTCTGTGTGAACACACTGTCCGCCAATCCACACAACTCCATCACACACTCTCACCGTCCTTCTTTTAGGTGAAAAAGAGCACCAAGAAAGTCCGTGTGACAGTCAAGCCCCATCTCCTCTTTAGGGTGAGTACATTTTGCATGTATTTGTTATTACTTTAAAAAGCATATGTGTATATTACATTTCCTGGTGGGCATAAGAACGATGGAAATTAGATTAGATCAGTTTTGCATGTTGATACAGTGTGGACACACTCAACTAATGTGAACAAATAAAGTGATAAAGAATATTTCAATATTTCCATCACGGTTCAAAAATTCATTGTAATGGAAAGGCTAGCTTAGGACTGTACAATAGAGAGTTTTTTTTTTACCACCCTCGTGATGTCAACTTGTGTGTGTGTAGCCCTTGGAGCAGCAGCAGGGCGTGGTTCCAGACCCGGATTCAGAGTATCGCCTGTTTGACAGAGTGATCAACATCAGGGAGAGCTTCACCGTCCCACTGGGACTCAGAGGAACCATCATCGGTATCAAAGGAGGTGAGGACACTTTTGTCTCTTTCATCATATTTCTACATACGGTTATGAATTCTACCAAAGTCTCAGCACTTTTTAAAGTTACTATGACAAAAAAGTAATAATATGTTTAAGTAATAACATAATTCTCACAGTTTATATTGTGTATGTGTTTGTGTCTTCAGCGGAGCGAGAAGCAGAGGTTCTCTATGAAGTGCTTTTTGATGAAGAATTTGCCGGAGGTCTCACCATCAGGTAATTGAATGAAGTGAAGCCGCAGTTTGATTATTGCTGCTGCATTAACTCTTTTGTTGAGTCTTTTTTTTCCCAAGTAAATTTCTGACAGAATAGTGAATAATGTGGGAAACCAAACTGTGGTGTCCAATAAAGGTATAAGTAAATGCCTTTCACTCCACACCAGAATGATTTCTGACCCGACATGACTCATTTGTCCTCAGGTGTACGTCCCCTCGTTGTTACCGCCTCCCTCCCTTCGCTCTCATCAACCTTTCCCATGGAGCCAGAGTGGATCACTCCTCTCACAAACTCACCGCCATCGTCAAACCTCAGCCGGCCGCAGCTGCAAACTTCAACTCTCAACGCCAGCTGTCCGGGCTGAACCACTCTCCACGTTCACCCTTTATACCCACACAGGTTATAACCCCACGCAATGAAAAACTGTTTTATATTCCTGATTGTAATTAATAAAACAATTAGAAACGTTGCCTCTCAGGAGGCTCACCAAGCTGTTTTTACCTCCCTTTCACACAAACTCTTTTCGTCTTTTCACCTCTCCACTCTTGTAGCATAACAACAAACAGGGTGTGGTGAAGGCAGCCTCGCAGGGCAACAGGAACTCTCCCTCTAAGGGTCCCATCCAGAAACAACAGGACAAGGTAACCTCAGGGTCATCTCTATGTAAACTCCTCTCACTTCTGTTGGCCCTGTAACCATGTGACCTTACACACATGCATTTTCTAATCCTGTGTCTGTCTCTGTATCTTCAGGAGTACAGTAATGTGTGGCAGTCTCTGCAGAACTCTGGGCCTCCTCTCAAACCTCCTGCTCACTGGCAAAATGTACGTCTGTATGTGAGAGTGTGTGTTTGAGGGATTTTTTGAATATTATATAAGAAAAGATTGATTCACTAGCATAGTGCTGACCCTCTGTGTCACTTGTTATACATGTTTCACCAAATGTGCAACTACCATGGTCAAGGACTCACAGTTTGGTACAACAGAAAAAAAACAAATGCATTTAGTCTTGAAAGTGTCAGACAGACAAAGTCCTTTTGCTGGGGACTGAGGTATAATTGGTGTTCTGTATGTTTAAAACCCAAGAATGTTTCTTGTGTGGCGGCTGCATATGTCCAAGTACACTTGTGTTGACAAATGGAAATACTAATCACAAAGTACTTTTTTGGTATGATTTTAAAATGTTTCTGTGGGATTTTGAATGTATGGAGCCTCTGTATGTTCATGGCAACCCAGCTTTGTGTTGGGGACTATAGAAGACTTTAGTAAGAGAAAATAGCCGGTAACTTTGACATGAAGCAGTTCAAAGTTAGCAGTTCAAGGTAATGTGTTGGTGGAGTGTGGAAGATCCTACACTTGTTTTTGAAACACACTCATGAAGATGTCACTGGGTGTTAGAGCAAAAATTAACAAAACAATCTTGTGTGTTTCCAACTCTAGGAAGGACTTTCCCAACAGGCAAAGAACCAGCACTCGAACAAAGCTGTAAGTACACACACACACACACACACACACACACACACACACACAAGCAGAAGCTGGTGCACTAGAGAGAGATCTATAGATGATTTATGTATATTTGTGCATGTGTATATAGTGAATTTTGTTGGTATGATGCTGGATGCAGATCTTTGCTTTAATGTGTTTAACGTGTGGGCTTGTTATATTTATAGAAAAGCGTGAATGTGTGGAGGGAATAATGTCTGTGTTATTTGCAGGCCCCAGCTGGTGGCATCAGACTGTTGAAGAAAAATGAAGACGCCAACTCCATTTTCCCCCAACAGAACACAGCCAATAAGGTACACACACAAACAGACACACTTTTAATCTCCTCTCCCCAGCCTGGTTCTTTTGAACTGTAAGGGACAGTGCAAAGCTCTCAGTTTTGCAGTGTCACCCAGTGGCTTGCTTTCAACCACAGTAGTCAGAATATTGTTTAGACATTTTTAAATTTGTCCACAATAGGTAAACTAATGTCTGCCCACTACCTGTTTTTCCATCTCTTCCCGTTTCTCTCACCTAGGCTACGACTGAATTTGAGGAACTGATAGCCAGTCTCAAGATCTCCAAAGGCAGCCAACAGACCCCACCCCCTCCTGCTCTTGCTCAAGCACCCACCAGCCAATCAGATGGCCAGTCAGATGGCCCATTGTCTCCGCAGTCCTTCGCCATGGTGAGTAGCTCAGACAGAGTTTGCTCAAGATGACAGTGGTCTTGTAATGCATGAGTAGGGTAGATATTTGGGAGATGTTAAAACCGCTAAAAAGTTGTAACACAACTGCCTGTCATAGAAAAACTGGAGCTGAACAATTTGAGGAAAAATTTCGATTCTGCAGAAGAACCACAACTACAATCACAACTTGTTCACCTACATCACTGCAAAAAGCAGTGATGTAGGTAAGAGCAGTAAATAATAACTAAAAAGATTTTTGGAAGTGTGGTTGTATGAGGTACTTATCCATAGTGTAATATTTTCACCACGTCACCTTGCTGTCACACAGCCCTTTCCAACAGGGAACTGAAGCCACTATATTTTTCTCTCCTCAAAGCCGTAATTTTACCTCGCAGAGCACTGCATCATGTTTTTGTTATGCACAGTTTTTTCAACCAGCAGCAGGCTAGTGTGTGTGATCATAACAGGCTGAAATGACTTTGTTCAAGCCTCTTTAACAATGTACATGGCCACGTGTTCTCTTCCTGCTCCATCATGATTTTAAAACAGTTTGGCCTTTATAGTTTTTAAGCCTTTTAGGCAAGAACATAAACATGAACATGTCACCCTCTCTGTCTCCTCTCTTCCTTCTTAATACTGTTCTCTGTCTCTCAGCTCTTTTCCTGGCCCTTGTTGTGTCTATTTCTCCAGTGTCCACTGCAAGTCTACAAAATGTATCCAGTTTATGGGCAAAACATGTGAGAGACGCATCAAGAAGTGCAGTGTAGCCAATCAGAGGCAGAGTGGGACGGGTCTTGCCAAGAAAAGCCAATAGCGAAGCAGCAAGCAGAGTAAACTGAAGGATTAGTATGTGATGTCATGTGGAAGTGCTTCCCACGTCTACATGCCTTGGTGTTGTGCTGGAGTCAGTCACATTACTTATCTCCAGGTTTAATACCCTTACTTTTATCCAGACCTCTGCTGAAACAAAGCTGCACTTCACAGGTTTTCCTGGGAAAAATAGCTTGTATTTTTTGTGGACATTGCCACAGGACTTGGTCAATTGATCAACTTTGCTACTGAAAAGCTATTTGACTCAGAAAGTAATGAGGTTACCACCATGCTACTGAGAAATGTAGTTAAATTAATTAGGTTGCTACTTGTAGTGATGCTACTGCCCAACACTGAAAATAACACAATACAAAAGAACAGTTAAGTTCAAAGTAAAAACAACAAGTCAGCGTTACAACAATACAATTAAAAACAATAAAATAAAAAGATAAAAGTATGAAAGAGAACATAAATGAATAAAAAGATTTATTATGATATATATATGTATATTATGATAATACAATTATAATGAGGCCTTAGGTTGTAAAAACCTTCAGTTTAAAGAGCTTGAGAACAATAAGGTTCTCTGTCAAGATTTTGAAAACTTGAATTTCCCTAACACCATCGGGAAATCAGTTCCATCGCTTTGCCGCTTAATGATTTACTTGAATTCTTTCTGATCATCATCAGTGTCCACAAAAACTGAACCTGACTCATTTTAGTTCCTTGAAATCCTTAAGAACATGTATGTGTGTTTCTGTGCAGTCTTTTGTTTTATTTGTTGTTTTGTTGTAGAGTGTCCTCGGGTCCCTTAAAAGGCACTAAAAAACTAGCTATTATTATTGTCATTATTATTATTACTAGGACAGGTGAGGATAATTGAACTGTTTGTGTGTTGTTCGTTTTTCTAGAAGGGAACTTTGATGCTGAAGGAGATGCTAAAGATTGACGGCGCTGGAACAGGAAGTCCCTCTTCCCAGGAGGCAGCTAACACAGTTAGTCAGCAGCAGAGCAGGAGAAGATCATCCAAGAAACTAGGTATGTATAAAATTACTACACCACAGGCAAATGTACTGCGACCAGCTTTACAAACCCAGAAAGTGGAGTTTCTGTCTGTATACAGTGTCAGCCATGTTTTTATTTCTCCCTCTCATCCCATTTTCCAGCAGCAAATATGAACACCCCCCACGGTGATGTAGCTGTGATAGCTTCTCCCACTCTGGGGGGATCTCCCAACCTCTCCAACGCTGTGCTGACCAGCAAGGTGTCAGAGCTGGCATGTGTCTGTGCGGGGTTGGGAATGGCACCTCCTGATTTCAGCTTCATAGGCAACAGACAGGTAACACAGTGCAGTGCATGTTTGTCTTTTTAGCAACATAGAATTTAGTTCTGTTTTAGTGCTTTATTTACCTGCACGCTGTAGATATATGCAAGAAACCTCAGCCAATAAGTGTGTCTTTGTCTGTGTGTGGTTGCTCTAACATCCTCTGTCTCCACAGACAGTAGTGTGTCAGGTGAAGCTGTCCAATGGGTTGATGGTTCACGGTCCCCAGTGCCAATCACAAAATGATGCCAAGGAGAAAGCTGCCTTCTTTGCCCTCCAAAGACTGGTACAACAAACACACACACACACACACACAAACATTACTGTTTCTGTGTATAAGAGAGTGTGAGAATGTTTGCTTGCAATGCAATAGTTGCACTATTTGTTCCTTTTTTTTTGTTCTAGTTTTAAAATATTAGCGAGGTTCAACTATTTTGCCGGGTCACCCAGTGTGTTTATGCATCTGCGCTTACATTAGTCGTAGCCGGAGGAATTATATCCTATATTGTCTGATAGTTCTGTTCTTGTAAATGCGATATGTTAAGAACACCTTGAGGGAATTTCTTCAAAATTTTTATTTTTTTTTAAAGATTTTTTTGGGCATTTTTTGCCTTTATAGATAGGACAGTTAAGCATGAAGGAGGAGAGAGAGAGGGGTAATGACATGCAGCAAAGGGCCACACGCTGGAGTTGAACCCAGGCTGCTGCGGCAACAGCCTTGTACATGGGGGCCTTCTCTATGCACTAAGCCACCAACACCCCAATTTCGTCACATTTGGCACCAATGTCCATGTGGACTTAAAGGATAACTTCGGTATTTTTCAACCTGGGCCCTATTTCCCCATGTGTATGTGTGCGTATGATTCATGGGTACAATTCGTTCTAAAATTGGTTCAGTATTGAGCCGTGAAACGAGCTAAAATGGTAACGGGGGCAAATGCGTTGGATGTCTTCTCTTCTTCGGCTGGCAGTAGTCATCTTGGGAGAAGTGAGCACTGCAGACCCAATGGTCTGCAAAGAACAGTGTCTGGAAAGGAATGTTAGCATCCATTAGTAGCACAACTAGCCACAACTTCAGCATCTCGCCGTCCGACAAAGGCAGCCTGTGAAAGCTGTACGGGGTGTTGCGCGACATCCTGTTCTTGCAATTCGGATAAGCACAAACACAAACAATTGTTTTCAATCGATGCAGTAAAACTCTCAACTGTACTCCGGGACAACCAGCGCCACTCTGAGCAGCGCTCTGCATGGCTCCTCTGTTTTCTTCCGGCAACAAACAAAGCTCTCGCGAGATGACGTCACAGCCCAGAGCAAGTGAAGGGTAAGGGAAACGCTTAGTATGCTATTTACAGAGATAACACTGGCGATCTGAACCGGTCAGTGGCGAAAAAAAGCACTTTTAATGCGCAAACTTATACGGGAAGCATATGCCCCCATTACCATTTTAGCTAATTTCGCGGCTCCCGGATGCATCAGCCTCCCTCAATACTGAAACAATTTTAAAACAAGTTGTACCCATGAATCATACGCACACATACACATGGGGAAATAGAGCCCAGGTTGAAAAATACCAAAGTTATCCTTTAATGATTTACAGATTTGTTTTTGGTGGTCAAAGGTCAAGGTCACTGTGACCTCGTCTGTCTCTTTCTTGTAAACATGATATCTTAAGAACACCTCGAAGGATTTTTTTTTCCCAGTTTTGCACAAACATCCACTTGGACTCAACAATGAACTTTTTTCAGATATTGATAGTCAAAGGTCACTGTGGCCTTGCATCCATCTCATTCTCGTGAACATGATATCTCTAGAACACCTTGAGAGAATTTCCTCAAATTTGACACAAACATCCACTTGGACTCAAGAATGAATCAATTCGAATTTGGTTGTTGAAGGTCAAAAGTCAAGGTCATGGTGACCACACCAAACATGTTTTTGACCATAACTAAAGAGTTCATGCGCTAATTTTGACAAAATTTCACACAAATGTCAAATAAGATAATAAGAGAATGAAGTAATGCCATATTTTATCCAAAAGGTCAAAGGTCAGCTTCATTGTGACATCATCATGTTCTGCGAAAACACTTTTCTGGCCATTATTCAACGTTATATATCTCAGGAACAGAGGGGGAGACATTTGGTCAGATACAGACTTGGTAACACTAATCTTGGGTGTCCACCTTGAAACTATGCTGATTGTATAGATCTTTTGTTCTGACGGGAGGAAGATGTGTGTGAAGCATTCATGTTTCACAGACATGGATGTAAACTGTAACTGCAACTTGACAGGTTAGCAGAGGCTGTATCCCCATCTCTTGGTACCCCAAGGAAAGAAAGAAAGAAAGAAAGAAAGAAAGAAAGAAAGAAAGATCAACAATTAAACAGGTTGACAAACACTAAGTGATCATTCTGGATAATATTTAGCTATTACTAAAGCATGGTTTTAACACGGCTGTCCAAAGAAAGGGAATGTGAATATGCATAAATAGATGTTTGTTTATTAGCAGCACACCAGCATGAGTGCTAGTCTTTCCGTGGTATTATTGTTCAGATCTACAATTAAATCTTCTTCGTCTGCTTCCTCTTATCTCTAGAACTCAGTGGGATCGGGCTTCCCTATCCCACCTGCTCTATATCCAGGAGTGGGCCAGATACGACCCCCACCCTTAGGAGCCATGAACCCTGTTTTCAGCCAGCAAGGTCAGTCTTCTCTCCTTACATTTTACATGAATAATTTGTATTAGATGGAGCAGCTGTCATCAGCAAGGTTACTTTCAGCATGATTCCTCATCTACAGTTCCTTGTCAGTTGTTTATGGCATTACCTAGAGGTCAGAACCGTTTAACACAGCTTTTACAAATACACATTTTTGCGAGATTATGGAAATTCTTGTTTCAATTTGTCTTGTTATTTGTTCCTTTATTTGTCTGTTCCCTGTAATTGGAATATTTTGTCATGTGAGACTTTGTTGAGGTAAAGAGCCATACAGATAAATGAATTTGAACCTTTATGTGCCGTCATCTCATGAGTGTGCTCTTTTTCTTCAGGTGGTTTGCTGTTGCCTCCGCAGGGTTACGGCCCTACACCTATGTGGGGAATGCCGCTGCCTCCTCACCACCACCAAAACCAGCCATTCTACGCAGCAGCAGGAACCTTCCCTGGTGCTGCCCGCCCCCAGCCTGCAACGACACTGCCCATCGGCTCACACAACCAGTTTATCCCGTTACAGGTAGACTTATCACATATGAACAACTTTAATATTTGTAGAAATAATTAGCTGTATTTCTATTTTGTGTGCCACATTTTTTTTTTATAATGCTGTAGTCATAGTGACCCATGATTTCTGTTTGTCCTCTAACCTTAACAGGTGACTAAGAAGCGAGCCTCAGCCAACAAGAAGAACCAGGAAGCTCGAGAGTTTTACAGCGCTGCCCACGTTGTGAGCAGAAACCAATCACTGAAGGCCCAGAACCAACCCTTTGGCCAATCACTTGCTCAGAGTGAGGGCGGCAAAGTCGACCAGCCGCACCAATACACCACCAACAGTAACCCCTCCCCGTCCAGTCCTGGCCTAGGAGAAGCCGTTTCCACGACGTCAGCAGCCCTGCGCACGCCCCCTCGACAAAATGTCCCAGTGACAGGCCACACCCCCGGCTCCTCCTCCAAGAGGAAGCAAAGAAAGCTGGCTGTCAACTTCGAGGCGGCTAAAGTCTCTGAGTAATGAGCTTGTGTGTGTCTGTGTGTGTGAGAAGAGAGAGAGAGAGAGAGAGAGAGTGTGTTTAGTGTTTTTAAGCTGCTGTTTTAAAGCCTGACTCAGCATCTCTGATCAAAACCTCATTGATGTGAAAGTTTCTTATTTTTACGTCATATGTTGCAAATTCTAGCAAACTCGATTATTCCCACATTAACATAAATCACAATGAGACAAAAATATACAACAGAAATCCATCGTCCCTTCACGTCTTCTCTTGAAATCAGTTATGCCAGTGTAACCTGGTTATTGTAGTTCCGCATTCCCTTCTTAAGCTTGTTTTTGGCCAGTTAGCTGTACAGTGTGCTTAATGGTTCAGAAAGGAAGGTGCATTCTGGGATGCAGCCAAAGTTCAATTTTTTTCCCCTCTTTGGGTCTAAAAGAGATAAATTTAGTGGGCAGATTCCTCTTCTTAGCAGAATTGATTAGCGTCTTATTTATTTGAATCAGAATATTAGTGCTTTATGAAGTCCTTAATTGAGAACTTTGGCTTATTTAAGATCTCATTTTATTTTTGTAACTCTGCTATTAAATCTGTCGGCTGTGTTAACATAGCACACACCAAATAATTCCTGAGGTCTCGGAATCTGTCAGCAGTGCCGGCCTGAGCTAAAAAATACAGCCCAACTTGCTCAAAATAATGAGTTAGTGGTCATTATTTTGAGGAAGTTCACAATACTAATTATCAAGTCATTATTTCTAAAAAAAGTAAGTCATTATTTTGGTCATTTATTTGAGCAACTAGGTCTTTATTTTTAGAGAGTTTATCATGATACCTTAGAGAATTGTTTTTCATCAAATTGGTGGAAATGGGCCGCCATATTGATTGATGTAGACAGAATAATCTTCTGACTAAAAAATTTTCTTATGAAAAAAAAATTCACATGTTTGTTTATTGAGCTTGGTCCGATTGTATAAAAGTTCTAGTGAAGTGAAACACTGCCTTAAAAATGCATCGTATTCATTAAATATGTATTTTAGATAAACATCCAAGTGGCAAAAAAAAGACATAGTCAAACCTTAACTTAAGTGCAAAAACATGATCATTCATACACTACTTTGTTCTGTAAGTGTTAGTCTGAGCATCGATACAGCCCGTAGAATTAGAAACCATTGTATGTCTTCCAGCCTCTTACAGTGTCAGTCTTAGCACCATCCCTCTACCCCTCCTCACAGTGTCACTTTGGTTCATTTACAGCTGAGAAGCAGGAGAGTTTTTACTGAGTTGAGGTGCTGCTATTGCCTTAGTTTTAGTGTTGGACCCCACAGCAGGCTCCACGGCAGCGCAGACTGAGAACACATAGTGCAGATATGTCGAGATTTATCACGCTCCTGGTCACACAGTGCAGATAGTCCTCTTCAATCAATGAATCTTGGTTCTCAGGGACACGTACACTTCATACTCTAGCTTCAGATTTGCACTGCAGTAACAACACCTTCCTGCTTCTCCCTCTGAATACTCACAGACATACTAAGTTATTTACGTGTCTTTAGAAAGTTAGTTTGAGGGCACATGATGCTGCGTATTTGTATCAAAATACATCCATGTTGTCAGGTTTGGATCAGTGGTGTTGGTCAGGCCAACATAGATTATCTGTTTTAATGTTTGCCCTTGTTTTGTGATCGTTTCCCATCAAGTTTGACAGCCTTTTTATTTCCGTCAGTCTTTTTACGCCTTGCTGCATTTTTGTACCTTTTTTATGGTTTGATAACGACTAGGCCAAAGTAAAAAGTTGAATGCGCACTGTCGTTCCACAGTGCAGAATTATGATATGAGAAACTATTGGATTATTAAATACACACCATATGATGATATTGCCACTGCAGAGCTGTTGTACACCAGCATATAACCCAGATTAAAATTCCAACAAGTGTTAAAATTGCCAGAGGCATTTTTTAATTTGTCGGTTATTTTTTTATAAACTGGACCTTTGGAGGAAGTTGTTTTATTGGTGCAAAATACAAACTGACTCAGATTTGTTGAGTTCTATTGGACCCACAGGGACCTTTACACTGCCAGATTCCAAAAGCAACCTAATACAAAGTCAATCAGCTTTTTAAATTGGATAGCGGCAGTTTGTGGCTGATTTTACACAGGTGCAAAAAAACATTTATTTTTAAACTGCTAAGATGAGACATTTTTCATGTACTAATTATGTACTTCTGACATTTTATTTGAAATACAAACCAACATTAAAGATTTTAATGGATTGTGTGAAGATTTCTGACCGATGTTAAAATAGTTTGTATTTGTCAAAAGTTTTAATTTCACTGAGATATTTTTGTATAAATAGTTCTAAGTGAGGTGTGTGTTGTACGTTTGGAGAACCACACACCATTGATAATTGATGAGCTTTTGTTGCAACTTAATTGTCTTGATTAAGTGCAAAGAAAAAAGTAAGCATTGATATACTGAGATCAAACACAGTCCAATAAGGATAGGAAATAAAATTTTTGTATCTGTGTAAATGCAGCCAAAGAGCATTGTAACTGTTATGTAATGAGTACTGATATATTTAAAACATTATGTAACTGCTAAATTCAGCGTCACTAAGATGCTATTGGAACTTTCCTCCAGGTCTTGGTTGGCGGTTTATAAGACGTTTGGCTATTTTGAAATTCTGGGCTTTCTTGTAAACCTCTGTGCACATCTGGACTTATTTACACTAGCACAGACACACACACACACACACACACACACACACACACACATAATCTCCCCATTTTAAAGATCTTTCTTTTCAAGCTATGGATTTTATGTATACCCTTTTTATAGACGGTCTTGGGGTCTTTTCTAAGCTTTCTGAATAATTATCATTTCAGTAATGTTTATGGGAGAGCTACATCGATAGAAGCAGCTGTAACGACTCATAAAGTGTCTTTACTTTGTCCTTGTCTTGAGGCACGCAGGTGTACAGTATGCTTGTGGTGTGATTGTTGTTTTATTGCTGATATCCTTACGCCGACCCCGAGACTCTAGTCTGTAAGGCTCTGGTGCAATAAGGGGACGTTTTAAAACATTTTGAAAATCGAAGCACACCTGTTGCATAATATGTTTTTTTTTTTTTGTTTTTTTTTTTTGTTTGGAAATAAAACGAAGTAGAGTATTCTCAGTATGAAGAGATAATGACTTGCTTTTTTGATTCAGGAATGTGCTGTACATATCGATTTAATAAAGTAAATCTTTTGTTACAACGTGGCTGCCTCTTTTTGGTGTCAAACTGTGCTCACTGCCAGATCTTTTTTTTCTGATAATTAAACAAATACATTAACAAACAATTTAAGTATTTTTGGATATTTCCCCTTTATTTAATACTATGCATGAGAACAACCATAGACACATTACAGCAAAGGCAAAGCCCTTGCATTTGCAGTATCACAAACTGGACGTTCATCATTCCCATGAATGTACGAAGAGAACTGGATACAGTGGTGGAGGCGATGCCCCGTTCATTCCTAGGAAAGTTGTTCAGTGGCGAAAGTGCCAAAAAGTTTATTCATTGCGGATAATATGATTTAATCATGTGGCTCTTCCAGACTTTGGAAATGTAATCAGACCAAGCGGAACAAATACAATTGGTGAAATGAGTCATTTTGTGGGGTTGTGACACTCGAAAGAACGTATCCACTGCTTAACAGACGTCTCTTTCACAATGTAAGTCTATGGGAAAAATGTTTTGAAGCCCCGTGGCATCACATGATTGACCTGTTAGTTGAAGTTATACAATTTTTTTTCTCTATGCCCAATTACTTTCAAAGCTTGGTGTTCTTCCTAAGGACCTGGACATTCCTGGGAAACCGCAAGCGGCGCACAGTTAGGCCCAATCCCAATACCCCCCCTTTGGCCCTACCCCTAGCCCTTGGCCCTCGAAATGAAGCAACGAGGGGTAGTGGTTGAAATCTTTCCCTAGGAATTGAGACACCACTCACTATGTCTCCACGTCGGTTACATTCACGCATACTTAACTATTTTAAACAGGAAGCCGCGAGCCATCTACATTTCCAACCGGCATCTACAACATAATGGTAACATTAGTTACTATTATGCTTGCTACCAGAGATATTGGATAAATCGAAATACCCCACTCAGCTCACTTCCTGATTCAGTGACGTCAACGGCACACCCCCGTAGGAGACTTGCGGCAGCTCTGAATGTATTGTCGTCAAAAAGGAAAATGAACATGATCACAATTTATGGTCAATTCTTTCGCCCTATAGTCACTAAAGTAAATATTGTGTTCATTTTCCACAAGCCACACATCTTACCAACATTCTGACACTAAAGCTGCATTTTTCATCCGCACAGATCAAGAGAAACTTAACTTTGTTTGAGCCCTGTCCGTCTCAGAAAACAAGTTCTCGCGAGATCTTGTGATCTTGACAAACAGGCGGTAAAATCAAGCGCAAAATCACAGTTAGCTTACAAACAGTTATTTACCACTAGTAATAAATAAAAAATGCCTAAGCTTTGTGCAGCAATAGGCTGGGACTTCTGCTTGCTAGCTAGCTAGCTAGCTAGCTAACAAGCTAACATTACGAGGCAGCATAAATATACTAGCTGGCGTGTTACTGTAATGTGAAAAATCCGACAATTTTGCAGAGCAGGACAGATGACAGACGCCAGATAGTGCGAGCTAGCTAGCTAGCTAACAAGCAACCTGACGACAGTAACGTTAGCTAGCTGGCTAGCTTTCTGTCAACTCCAATCTAGACATCGTGAATAGCAATAAAAAATTGTTATACCGTACTCTACACAAATAGTTATTTGAAAACATTTTTACAAAAGTTCCATGTTTACTTGCGAAATTACACGTACATGTATGAACTTTTTTCCCTGTCTCTTGCTGGTGGTAGCCATGGCAACGCCTACCCCTCGCTGGCAAGTCAGCATCTGAAATCCCTCGCTCCAAAGGGCTAGTTTCATACCCACTACTCCTCGTTATGCCCCCTACCCCTATATGCATAAAGGAATTGGGACACCCCTATCCCTCACGGGAACGGGCAAATGTAGGGGTAGGGCCAAACATAGACATATATGGGGCCAAAGGCTAGGGCTAAGGGGGGGTATTGGGATGGGCCCTTCCTGACGTGTATTCCATCACCCAGCAGTGGTTGGTCTGCCAGAGAGGGTAGGCGGAGCTAAAGTAAGAGACTTGCTCTTCAACTTGTTACCATAGACTGTGTAAAAAAAATTTAAAAAAAAGGGACGTAGCCTTAGGGTCTGAAGAGTAAAGCCAACATATGAAAGAGCCTTAAAACTGCATTCTCTGTAATGGCCAGCTGGGAGCGATGCCACTCGTTGCAAAAAGATGTCCAATTGTGTATAAGTCATTGAGAAAATGAGCCTACTTCTTACTTGATTTAATACCTCAGTAAATTTTATTCATTTGAATCTAACAGATGGAATTAAAAAGAGTGGAAATAAATGTGGCCTTATGAATGTCCTCTGATATAAATAACAGCAGTCCTTTGAAAAATGTCCTTTAATAAATATAAACCTATTGATTTATTTAGTGCATTCTATTGATTCATTCATATATTTACATTTATTTATATATTTATTCCCTCATTTATTTATTTCAAAGTTATTTCATAGCCATATGTAGTTTTTTCATATTGACTTCAGTGGCATTCAGTAAAGGACAATAAACAAGTCACCACATTAAAAAAAACCAACATAAGACATATTTATTCAGTGAGCACCAGTCAGTCAGTATAAACGTTCTCTTTCCTCAGAAGCTCAAGTTTTGTTTGAACAGTAATCAGAATCAGACATCAGGAAAACTACCACTGCGTTCACAATCTAAACATCAGACACTTTGACCTCTACAGGCAGAACACTGGAACTACATCTTGATCAGGGCTTGGTGAGAGAAAATCTTAAGTCATTTAGTGTGCGTCATACAAAACCTACCTCTACAGAGTAAAAAACAAAAACATTTGGACAATAACAACACACATATATATACACATGTTCCAACTTCATCAAAATCTGAAAGTGAACTCGCTAGATTTTCACACTATGTCCTGCTACTATATAAATTAATGAAAATCACACATTGATTTCAACTCTAATGCTAACGCTAAAGCACTGATGTTAATGTAGATGCAAGGTCAGATCACTTTATTGCAGGCAGCAGGACTAACGGTCAGCAGAAAACAGGAGGGAAATAGTCCTGATAAAGACAATTAAGCTTTAATATTGGAATATGGGATGCCAATTGGTGATGCATTAATCTGATAAATAAAAGATGTAAACAAAGCCGGTGAGTCAACAGGCTTTCAGCACGGGATGCCACACTGTGATTACAAATGAAGCTTTCAGTGTTATCTGTATCTCCTACATTTGTAGCCTGAGCAAGCTAAGTGTCCCGGTAAACATGCCTCAGTTCATTCATTTATTTTTTATATCTTGCACGACTGCAGTATTATATATTTGTTGAATATCTGTAGCTTCAACATTAGAGAGAAGCTCCTAGTGGTAAAATGTTTTTGGTCAACTCCAGCCAGTTTTTTTGGCTTTTCAGTGGCCCGAAAAAAAGAATGGAGTAAGTGATGCGCTGTGATTGGTTGACTTTGTGGAGGAATGAGGAAGTTATTTACATACAGTGTATTTACAGCTACAAAGTGGCAGTAAGACATGGACACTGATGTCTGGCATTAAGAGGAACAATCAAATATAAAGTCTGACCAAAGGAATATCTCATTACATGTGTACAGTATGTTTTTCAAATGGTTCACATTGTGCTCACACTTAAAGGTAAATCTGGTGTTATTCTGTATTTCCTGTTATTAACAAAACCCATTTAAAAAACAAAACCAAATTGATCTTACTAACAAGTGTTGTGTGTGTAAGCCTGATATATCTTATCGCTCTGCCATAGAGCTCCATTGTTCCTTAAAATCTAATAAAAAAATCATTCTGCTGCTGAAAATACTACAGTAAGGCAAATGTGTAACAATCCGCCCCTGAAAATAGTCCCCAACAAATGCTCTGTTTCCTGCTGTTTGAGCAATGTTTGCAAAAACCTACAGTGCCCAACTGTTTTAGAAAATTTCATACTATTTCATACTATATATTTGTAAAGTATATATATATATATTTGTGACCTGTTTTTAAAGATTGTATTAGTAACCAATCTAGGGGCTGGGTACCAAATACTAAAAGATGGACTAACACATTCTTAGTTTTAATAATTT